TCATTAGTTCATTACAGAAGCCCATGAATTGGCAGTGGGTGCTGTCTACCAGTTCAATATTTGGGACGGCTAGCACAGATAGCCCTTGCGATAATATCCACGATGAACAATCGAGTGTATTACAAAAAAAAAAGAGTTGACCAAGCTTTATTAAAACTGGTTTAATCCAAAGAATTATGCTAAAAGAAAAGATTTATTAACCAAACGCCTAAAATTTGTGAAGGAAATCAGGTAATATGCAGATGTTTCTTCCATATTCCTTTTAATGTGTCCATTTTGTATTCGAAATCACAGGTATGTAAAATTTCAGATTCGAAATAGGCAAATTAAGAGGAATGTGAAGGGAGATGTCTCACTTCACGTGAATTTTATCCTAATTTTTAAGCTAGGCCTATTGGTTCTAGTGCTACGCCATAATAAGTATTTAAATAGAATTTCAGGAAAGCTTTTGTCTCTTATTGTCCAGTACAATAGACGAGTTCTCGTATTGAACGAAATGCCTTTTGGACAGTGAGACTCATGGGAAACAAAAGGTAGACCTGAAATTCTAGTCTTACACATCTCTAATTTCGAATACGAAACGCATACTTTAAGAAAAATGTAGGAGATTTTTGTTATAGATGTCCTGCATGACATATTCGTTTCTAATGTTTCGCCAGCTTTCAGTGTTTAAACTGTAACTTTTAAACTGCTATGTTTAGTTCTTTCATCACAACCTTCCGCAAGCTCAGCAGTAAGATTGGAGGGTATATAAACGCTTCATTTTGTAGAGATGCGACTTGACCCTGTGGGGAATCTCTGGATTTCGGACCTGAAAGCCAGGTTCGAAGCCGTGAGATATCACAAAATAATCCCTGCACTTTAAGCTATGGTAGTGTTATAAAAGTGGAAGTCATTCCATTCATTTGGATGGTAGCTGGTAGGATGCTGCCGACTGGCTGCATTCCATCTGGTCAATTATACAAAACTAAAGACAGCGTTAGACAGCTGTAATATATTTGCCATAAATACAGTTACAAATTTATTTTATATCTCTTTTCAATTACTGCTATTCACATAAACAGAGCATCGTGTGTTGCTTTTGTTTTTTTAACACACATTTCTAAAGCATTCCTCTTTTTATCTACTTTGTTACTTATATTCTTCAATGTGGTGGATCTCTGAATTTTGGAGCTGAAAACCGAATTCGAATCCATGCGATTCCACAAAATACGCAATTGTTGTTGGATTGTCTCATCGTAATAATAATAATTTGTAATAACATTTATATTTATCAAATTATTGCCTTTCAGTGGCTCAGCGGTAAGCTTCGTGGATTATTGGTTAATTCCGGGTTCAATCCTAATGGTAGGAACAGCATGTGGTTTTGTTTTGTGCTTAACAACAAAACTTCACCATAAATATTGATGAATTAAAAAAAAAACACCCGTAGCAGAGAGTAATTTATAGGTCGATGAGTAGTGGAAGAGTATTAAAAGATTGGAAGTTTGCTAATGTTAATCCAATATTTAAAGAAGGTGATAAACATTGTCCAGATAATTATAGGCCAGTTAGTCTTACATCAGTAGTTGGAAAAATTTTTGGAGAATGTGATTAAAGATACATTGCAGAGTTGCTTAAGACAGTTTGTTATAGTGTCAAAGAGCCAACATGGTATCACTACGGGAAAGTCTTGTTTAACAAATCTTCTGACATTCTTTGAGGATGTTATCGCAAGAGTTGATGAAGGAAATACCATGTTTACCTTGATTTTCAGAAAACATTTGATAAGGTGCCTCACAAAAGACTTGTTACAAAAATTAAATATGTAGGTGT